GCGGATTTAAGAGTTTTCACGAAAATTGATCCTTTGTACGTCAGGGAAGTCTAAATTACAATAAGTGGTAATGAAAATTGACCCATAACAATAGTAATTTCATACAAAAATAAGAATTGTGTTCAAACATGTGGTGTAGTGTATTTAATCGCCTTGCCCGGCTAAAATATTCTTATTTACTCTTATTATAGATTAACGGGAAGTTCTTTCATACTTTACTACGTGTAGATAATTTGATTTGTCAGATTAACGCAAGCAGATAAAATGCGTGGGATCTTATAAGTTGTCGTAACGCTTGTGTATCACGAGATGACTACTTTCAATATCCTTGATCAGTTAGTTAGACGGAGTGCAGAGTGAATAAAGCATAATGAATAAAATGCATTTACGCTATGAGTTATGAAAAAGTAAAAAGCACATTGGGAAATGTTCGGACCTGCCAAAAATGTTCTGCGAAATTACGTCCTATTCGATGTAGGTGACCATCAGAGGTCGATAATGACGTACAGTCCACGTTGGAGAGTAACCCACATCTAACCACTTTATAATTACAAAGAAACTCGGCGTCCATCATTTGACTGCGGCGGTACACATCAAATATCGTCGAATTCAAAAACTTATTTATATAGAATACGACAGAATTTTTCGCCAATATACGTAGACGCCACGTAAAACAATGAACAAAAATACATACTAAAGTATGTATTTATATAATAAACAATGTTTAAAAGGTAAATCGATAGTGTTTTATAATAGATAATTAAGTGGAAACATCGAATTAAGTTGACGATAGCAAACATTACTTTACTATGAAATCGTGTGTCCCAACATTATCATTGCCACTATTGACTGAAATTTATACACTCTTTACTTTTGTACATTTGTAAACTTCTCTGATTTATTCGTTAAAATTATTTTGAATCAAATCGCATTTTTTCAGTTATTGGTATTACTGAAATAAAATCTAATTAAATCAATCACATTTTATTTCATATTGTAAGTTCTGCGGTTGCACTGTGTTGTTCATATGATTTCGAGCCTTACCATTGCTGGCTTTCAAACGTACGGCTTTGCAATTTACGACACTGCATAACGTATCTCATTAAAGACTGAATAATATAGATAGCTTTGGATAGGTTGAGTTCTGACCCAAAGAAAGACATTTGCTCTGCCGGTTACAATTGCAGGAAAGTGTTAGTGAATCGTGATTTGTGATAAAAGTGAACAAGATACAAAATTCGAAGAGCAAAAAACCCTTACGGAGTGCGCATGTATGGTAATTCGGATTATTCATGTCTTGTCTCTTTATGACGAGGAAGGTGAATCGATCGAATGCAATGTAGCTAGAGCGCCCGCAATGCAAAAAAACCGGCGAATCAACTGAACCAATAGAGTCAATTCAAAATAACTCCATTATATTAAAGAACTTGATAAGATCAATTTTTAAAATATTGAAAGCCCGCTCAGAAGACGCTCGCGGCATTACACTTGAGTGCACGGTGCAATGCCCTCCTAATTGAGCGTTGATCCCACGGAGTCAGCGGATGAGTTATTGGTTTACTCAATATCTCCACAATTTTTAAAATGATGTTGGATATTTTGATTTAAAAAAAAGAGTCAAAGCCGTTAGGCCGGCTGTTAAATACTCTATACTATCTAACACAATTCTTATTTTTGTCACAGAAAACAAAAAATGTTAACCTGATTTTATATGAACTTACTCTTTAGTACATTAAAAATTAGACTTTCTGCAAACAAAGGCATACTTTCCTTAAGAATGGTTGTGCCCAAGAGGTTCAAAAATTGTGGTACCTATTTTACTATTATTATTCATCAATTTTATTCATAAAATATTTAAACTTAAACTTTTCTGCTTTAAAAAAGAAAAATTTATTTTGCTTGATTTTCATCATGGAGCATTGAAAATTAGACATTTTTGTCATATGAACTCCAGTTTTCGTGACGAGCGAGGGCTCAAAAAATTGCTCCAGCCAACCAAAACTTTTTACACTAATTGATAATGCCGAAATACTACTATTTAGCGACTTTTGTAGAGAAATTTTGAAAATTATAAGTTTTCCACATAATGACTTTTGAAGTTGGGGCGTCACTGCACCAACTTTCATCAAAATATCAGAAATATTGCGACCTACAGCTTGAACACAACAGACATCAGACGGACAGACACGCTTAGGTTGATCCAGAATCGCTAAAAGGTCAGTCTATGTAAAGCCCTTCTGTATGTTACATAAATAAATTTAATACCACAAGTGGTGTAAGGTTCAAAAAGTTGTTGTGGAAATCTATTTGTAAAATAAAATTCGTAAAAAGAAATCCAAATTTGTGAAGCGGACGTAAAAAATTAATTATGGATGATGTCATGAAAAAGTTGGATCTTCAAAGATACATTGGAAGAAAAGTTAAAGAGAAAATTATAGAAGGCAAACTACAATACCATCATCAACACTACTCTTCCATTAACCCTCAATTAACTCCACCTCTATATCCAACAAATGTTGAGAAAACCAAGATCCAAACATTTTCGAGAATTCGCCCTGGTCATACAATTGCAATTCACCAATGAATCTTGAAGGAGTCTTCCTACCCAATCTGCAGTTGTGGACAAATTCTCACTGTAAATCACATTCTCTGCGACTGCCTTAACTTTTCCTTCGGTAGAGGTATTGCATTTGAAACGATTAACCCTTTGGACATTCTACAATCAGCTTCAGAACAGAATATCAAATCACTATATTTTACTTTATTAAAACTACTAGGCTCAATATCTAATGTACATTTATATAAATTAGAGCCGATAGCCTGTGTTGCTAGTGCTCAATATCTTTTTTTTTTAGTCTAAGAATTTATTTCATTAGTCTAAAATTTAATAATAATAATAACAATAATAAAAAATTAATAAATATCTAAATACTAGGCAACCTATATCGCAATATCATTTTGTACCACTTGGCAGAATAGGGGAATGCCTACCTTTAACAAATAAGAAAATCACAGTCGAATAAGGCCAATAATTAGATACTCTACATCATTTCACCTAGTACAGTTATTCACATGTTTTGGTGATGGAATGGGATCCACGGTATAGATCCACGGCATTCAAATTTGATCCACCCAATTTTTATATCAAATCATTATTATGAACAAATTTTATATTTCATGAGAATTCATAGATGCGGTGAGATCCTAAAAGCAGACCTACATTGTGCGAATGCGGCAAAAATTGAATCTTGCTACCATGCAAAGATTTAATGCAACCAACCTGATCGGAATTTTTCAGGGCAATGTCAAATTTACACATTGCATTCTGTTTCATATAACCACTTTTCAATATAAAGCGTCATATTGAGTAGTCGAAAAAGTGGTCCGATTTAAACCATTTTCGATAGGATTCGTCTATCGGCCAAAGTACGCCAGTTTACTAAAATGTCTTAAAAATTGCGACGACTAAGTTCAACACAGGAATGCATAGATAGGCATCAGACGGACAAATAGACAGAACAGCTCAGATCGATTCAGAAAATGGTTGTGAGTTAATCGTTAGAATAAAAGGTGGATCTATTGCGAGGTCGTCTGGATATTCTGTCCGTCTGAACAAACTTAATATAATCTGTACCACAAGTGATGTATGGTATGATAACAAAATGCAATGTTATCCATTTCAAGAATAGATATATATTGTAGAGATGCGTTACAAAAATTTCTATTGAATGAATTTACAGGAACTAAAGAAAGGTTTTATTCATATTTGCGGGACTTTTGCTCATTTTAATAATTTTAATGGGGGAACGTAAGGACAGATATAGCCCAACAAAATGGCGACATTTCAAAATGTTTGCGCAGCGCGCCACTATAAAGTTGAAATATCTATAGAAACCTACCAAGCCAAGTAAACGTTGAAATACTGTCAACGATATTTCCAAATCTTTTTTTTTTACCGTTATATTGATTATTTCAATTTAATTTTTTAATAATTTTTTTCATGTACATTGCATAAGTTATAGCTCTGCGGCAAAGTTGCATTTTTTGGTATTTTATAAGAAAGGTTAGCAGCGAGAGTTATATAAAATTTTCTAAGTGTGCGAAGTTTATAGCTAGTCCATATTTTTTCTGTCTGTCCACTTTGCAACCATGTACCTCAGTTAAAATTTATTCTTACCTAATAAAAATCAGGTCTTCACTTTAAAGCCTCAAAAGTGATACATTTTGTTTTCATTTTCTCTGAGTGACCAGTCACATGGACATTATTGGCAACACCACAGCAGTTAAAATTGCATCTTCCAGGCCATCACGAAAAACATTCGAGAGAAAACAGTTAGTTTTTTCATGGTAACAGCGATGCAATAATTCACCTTATGGTCTTCACTTATACTCTTTATTTCCACAAATAAATAAAGCTTCTTGGTTTATCAATTGCGGACTCAGACCTGACATTATTTGTCTTATTAATAGGTTGATGTTTAATCACAAGAGATGTAATGAGCAGCATTCTTAAGATTTTACGTTATCACAGTTTAACAGTTTACTCCGTAATCTTTTCTTTTTCTTTAAACATTTACAGCCAAATTATCAACCTATTGTTTTATACTTTTTTTATTCTCGCACTTATCAATTCTTTGATATGGCACTGTATACTTATGTATTACATTGCTTTGTACACTACGGAATTTAGTCCTCGGAGTTTTTTTCTGTCCTAGGTGGGGGACGAGTAATATGCATATTTAACAAAAAATTTTAAAAAAGTTAAGTTAAAAAGTTAAGTGGCCGACGTATAACACGCAAAATTAAAAAGGCAATCAAATATATTTTAAAAGTAATAAATAATAATAATTACATATCAAACCTATCCTCAACTTTACTAAGACTCAAACAAAGAACTCTGTGTTCATATTGGGCCTTTTTTACACATCTCAGCGAATTTTCGGTTGTTGATTCGCTGAATGGAAGACTAAGAAGAAGATTTATTCTATTGTTTTCTTTAGTTAACGTTTGATAGAAACATATAAACAACAAATGCAAAATGTCGGATGAATATGATTGTGCAGCCAAGAGCAAATTAAAATTAAAAAATGATTATGGCATTAAGAAAAAGAAGAAGAAAAACAAAGAAAAACACAAACAGAAAGAAGCTCTTCAACAAAACGCAGAGGCCGATAAATGCCAACGTAATTTTATAATAAAACATGAATCAACAGAACAGAGGATGTTTACTAAAGCGGAATTAGCCTTTAAGCAGCAACAGGAGAAAATAGTAAGCAATGATTATGGGTACGCACGAATGTACCGAACGTTCGTTGTTAAAACTCATATAGACAATTACGTTATTGCATAAATATTTTTTCACATATCCTCTTTTAAGCGCAACAAACGTATTTTGGAAAAGGCCACAACAACTCATAAGCAGCGCGTAGAGAAGTTCAATGAACATTTGGATACATTAACAGAGCATTTTGATATACCGAAAGTGTCCTGGACCAAATAAAAGCAAATCGCAATTTCTTATGTTGTTTGGATGCATTCTATTAAAATTGTTCTTTAGATTGTTCATATTTCACATTATACATTTTTGTCTTTTTTTTTCTTTAATGGTTCACGAATAATTATACTTGATGATAAATTAGTCAAATCCATGTACTTTTCTATACATTTTGATTAAAATGCTTTGCATCTGCACAAACATTTTTACGTTCTTATTTCTGAAGTACGTTTGCAACAATTTTTGTTAAGGGATAATGTTCGGAGCCCTGATCGTTGCAAATTCCATTAAAATCGTCGGTATTCAGAGAAAACAACATAGCCCCGCCCAATCGGTTGTTTCTAATATATTCGGCTTTACATTGCATACTGATAGAATTTTCAAAAGATATCCACTCTGTGCCGCAATGAATATAAGGCGAACAAGTCTGTTGATCGTAGACTTCAACTACATGTAAGTTGTTTTGCATAAACCAACAAATTTCTGAATAACCTACAAAGCCTGCAAAACCACTTTGTCCTACATCCTTTGCTGGGGCTCCAATACCAGTGTTAAACGGGTTTACCAGCCTGCAATAAATGAGGATTTTTATTAGAAAACAATTTCAAGTATGAATTGACAACATTTTACGTATACGAATGTCCATAGGTAGGTAAGCCAACTACCAATTTAGAACGTTCTAATCCATTTAACAACCACCAATTGACTGAATAGTTTATATTTAAAGTGCTTAATATTGAATATTCGTTATGGCGAGCGTAAAGGGGCGCATTTAAGCCTGTAATTATTATTTTACGTAACTCAAATTGCAAATGTAGGCTTAATTGAATTTACCTGTAAAGGGTGTGCTCTTTGTATAAAAGTGATAATCATAGGTCATTACATTAACATGATTTGCATATTTATTAATTTCTCCGACGTCATAAGCAAAATAAGCTATACCCTCTGGAGCTGCCACCGCTACCGACAATAAGTAAGGCCGTTTTTCTCTTACATATTCAGCCCGTATTTCGTATAATAATTGTGAGAAATGTTGTCTTTCTCTATTGTAAGCGCTAGGAAATTCCCAATCTAGATCGCATCCATTGAGTTGATACGTACGTAAAATATGTTTTAATGATTGTATAAAAATCTTGCGCGTCTTATGGGTTTTAATCATATTCACAAACCCGAAACTTGAACTACTGCCACCACCCACCCATAACAACAGTTTGGATTCGGGATATTGTATTCTAAACTCGGGGACTTCATTCTCTAAAACATCATTCAATTCTTTACCAATGACTATTGAAAAATTCTGCACGTAAGTCATTCCCACATTTATATGAGTACACAATGAGCCATTGACATTACTTAAGCGTAAATTGTTTAAGTACTTATCAGCATTCGGCAAGGAGTAATAACAGACTAGTAATCGTTTCGAAGGAGCAGGTGCTCTCATTTCAATTTTTTCTAAGGAATCATAATCACTTTCAGAATGCAATGATTTAACACGAAACGTTGAAGGTTTAACCAATCGAAAATCATGAGATAACTCCCCATGATTTCGAAAAGCTGCACTATAAGCTGTTGCTTTTTCCAATAATTGAATAGAAACATCTTTGGCAAATACAATGCAATGAATTATAAAATATATATATTCGATAGATATCGAAATATATATGGCATACTCACTATTTGTAAACGCTAAATAATTGACAGTTTGATCATAGGAATCATAAGCTCTATGCCAAATAAGAAATACCAAAATTGTAATGGATAAGTAAACACACAGTAGCACTGTTATACGCCACCAACAATATTTATATCTAGAATTAGTATAAATTAATTTTTTTATTTGTCTTTTCTTGCTATTTTTTTGTTTACAAACCGGATTCCATTGGTCTCATCCATTAACTCATAATCAGCCATTTATCATAATATAAATATGTTATTAAAACAACGATAGCTATGGAATATATTTTTTAAAACTAATCAGTGTCGTTGCTATTTTCTTAAATTGTATAAATCTTTCATTTTCTTTTCTTCTCAATATACGTTAAATTTATTCTAAACTCATATGGATGAACGAAGTACTTTTAGTTTTTTGTTGCGAAAATTAGGGAGAAAGCAAAAAACAAAATAACATAAACAATGCGTATACGACAAGGATGCCACATCCTAAATGAAACAAATTACATAATTTGCCGAAAGTGGGTATACAAATGCTGTGCCTGATGCGCCGCCTCACTTATTATATTTGGAGAAAATCTGCAGCAGACGTGCATTTTGTGTTCTCATCGCACAATAAAAAATTTAAAAATTTTAAAATAAGAAAACATATATTTAATGATTACACAATACGTAATATTATGTAGTATTATATAATACCCTTATGCTCTTTCTTAGAAATAAAATATTAGAACGTGTTTTGAAAATAGTAGGCTTTATAAATTAACTTTTAAAACATTAAATAAATATACTGAAGTTATCAAAAAAAAATATATATATATATAATAACGAAGTTTTATAGCCGTTAGCGAGTATAAGCACTTCGGAAAGCAACATTAATAATTTAGTAGTAAGTACTTTATTGTAAAGAAAAAATTAATTTCAGACAAAATGAACAGTGATGGCTGACAATGTTCCAATATATATACTGCAATGTTATGCTAAATTGTGATGGTGTCAAAAAAAAAGAACCAAACTGAAATCGATATCGAGTAACCACGATCGGAATTTGTAAGCCAGAACCAAACTTTAAAACTTTACAAGGTATATAAATGCTAGGCCAAAAATCAAAACTGAAATGCAGTAGTTTGTCCATCTATGTAGTATTCGTGGCAAACATTTTTCCTTTAGTGACAATGAAGATATCAACTATAAGTTTGCAGAAGAATTTGAAAATGACGTAAACTTTTCAAAGGACGCGCCTACAGCGCCCATACGCCTACGCAACAAAGACTTTTGTTTTAGAAAAAGAAGAAATCAGCCGCACCCAGTCTATATTGTAGAGGATGAAAATCTAGTACTAAAAATAAAAACAGCCAAGCATAGAAAAATCAAAAGTTGAAAACTTTTGCGTGCTTTAGCGAATGTACGCACAACCGTACATAAGCATTTCTGCTTTAGCTCCAATACACTCACGCACACTACTACTTAAAACGTCATAGTGCAGCATGTGTTCATGTTACAACATGTTCGTAGTGTAAACTTACGCACACTTCTCGTACAATTTTCAGTAAATGTTCCTATTTCAGTTTGTTACTCTCTTTCTTAAGGTCTTTAATATTATTTGTTTTTATCGAATGCCTTCTGATAAATCTAATAATAAAAATGTTGGTAGCGAAATGTCCTATCTTATATATATAATATTTTTAGCTAAACTTAATAATTTTGCTGCGCAAATGTTGCTAGCAAAATGTACTATCGTATGTATCTAATGTTTTTGAATTATTTTACTCATTGTAAACATATGTAGTAAGCGTATAGTGAAACTCGAACAAATATTTCAAATTACAGAAGTCCCGGTCTTAGAAAATGTCTAAAAATGTTATTGTCATAAATAAATCAATGCGGGTTCTCGTATCGTTCCATGAATTACTTAGCTTCCATTACCGTACAATCAAAGTTGTAGCGTCTTCTCGTTACGATGACGTACAGTTTCTTGCAATTCGCATTTTCCGAATTTCTTAAAATCGAAAAGAAGAATATATTTGATGCCAGAATATTATTTGTTTAAGCCAAATAAAAATAACATCAACGATATTAACAAACCACTAGACCCACCAACACTTCGCTTTCCGAATCTGCGTTTTTGGCTAATCCAAAGAATAGGGCTTTGGTCAAGTGTCCTTGCGCTGATAAAATGAATTTCCTTACTTGTTAAAGGATTTTTGTCAATAAATTAAATAATAATAATATTATAATAAATATTATTACGTATATGGTGTTTTTTATTTAGAGACACGGAAGGACAATTACATATCGTACCCACGTATATTAGCAGCTCCACTACGTTTAATCAGAACATTAAATAAGAGAGAGAGAAAGTGAACGAGAAATATATCTTCATATGGTCATAAATATGTTGATATTAGAAAAATTTTTAATTGTGCAATAATTTCGGAAACTTAAAAATAAAACAACTTAATTACTTTTGGGAAAAATATATAAAATTCTAATTTAATTATTCATCAGTGATTTATTTATCCGATATAGTGAATATGAATTTTATGAGATCAATGCTTTCTTTTCATTTAACTTTTATTAATTATTTGAATTAATTATTAAAGCAATTATTATTACTATAGTAGTACAGTATATTGCTTTGCTTTTTTCTTTCCTTTTTGATCTTTATATTTGTGTAAAATTATACATTTATCATTAACTTGATAACTAAAAGATACAACAGCGCAAACACATATTCTTTGTTACGAAAATTCTTGGAAACTAGTCTTACTTATCCCTAAAGCATATTACGATATTAGTTAATTTTAATGTAACAATTTAAACATGGCGAGACAAAAAAGGCTAAAATTTTGATAAACTTCACATGATGCTGCCAAAAGAAATTTTTTTTTATAATATCTCAAAATATGTATAAGAGGCGCCATCAACTATTTTTTGCTAGCGTGAAAATCTGAACCCAACTGTACACGAGATGTGCCTTACTTAAAATCGGACAAATTGAGTTTGAATTCAATAATATGATAAATTCAATTTTAAAACTATTATTAAAAACTTCAGAAAAAAATTTAAAAATTTTCATAATTTTAACTAGCAATAAGAGATCTACATAGCAGGTACCAATTTGAAATTTTTAGAAATAAGGGAAAAATTAAAAGCGATAAGTGATGATTATCCACGATTCGCCTTGATCTGCATTCGGAATTGGAACCAGAGAAACCGAACGCATATCTAAGCAGTTGTGTGTTTGAGTAAAACAATTTGTTAAAAAATTATCAAAAATTTGGTGAGTTTTAATTAAAGTTTCTTATAAGATTTTTAATCAATTAAAATGAAACCATTTAGACGAATCAAAGCGTGGATGGAAAAAACGTGTTTCATGTGCGTAAAGCTGAATCTTAAATAACTTGCTGTTTTTTTTTTGTTTAGAAATTAAATTTTAAATACTGTGACAAGTATATATATATATATATTTATATATATATATATATATATTATATTATATTATACATATATATATATGTTATATATATATATATATTTATATATATATATATATATATATATTTTATTATATTTATTTTATGTATGTTTCTTCTTTCTAAAATATAACAAACAACAAAAAACTTTATATTAACAAAACAATTACAATAAAAAAAAATATATATTATGAATATATATATGGTTGGGTATGCGTATGGCTGCAAGTATTGCTATCGCATGAAGAGGTTAAAGGTTTCCGGTTATAACAAAAACAACCTTTGATATAATTACTATGTGATGATCAAAGTTTCGCAGTTTTGCAGTATTTCGTTTATTCTAAGTACCTGGTATAATATCTAGGAGAAAGTATTTTCATTCGTGTTTACATACGTCTGAATTCTCTATATGTAAATTAGAAGAAAACTTATGTGTCTCCATGTGTTCATTTGTTTCTTTCTTCCTTTTTTTCTGTGATTGTTTGCATTTGTCTTTCGTTTTTCTTGGCATTTTTTGTATTTATGAATACTTTTCGATTTTGCTCTTTTTCAACGTTCTTATATTTATATATGAAAGTTTAAAAAGGGAAGTTTCAAAAAACAAAAAAATGAAAATATAAATACGGTTACTTATAACGTTCAATGTCATTGTGAGTGCTTATGACAGTTTGCTCGTTACGAGTTATCACGACTGCTTGCTGTACAATTACTTGTTTAAGCACCTTAAATATATAGACTTTCTTGTATACACAAAAGCAATGTATATAACAATATAAAAAAAATATTTATTCTGAACTTAAACTTGATTTATATATACTAAAAAAATAAACGGAGGTAAACCCAAGCAATAACACTTTATATATATGTATATTATATACTTACGTATATTTATATAAATATATTTATATATATAGTACATATATTATGTAATTATATATCTATATATATATATATATCAGAATATATAAGAATATATTTAAATATATAAATATATATATATAAATATATATATATATATATATATATATATAATGTATATAAGAAGTTTTAAACTTAAGTTATACATGTTTGTAAATTGTGTTTTTTATGTGTTATATGTGAAAGTGCGTATAAATTAAATGATGCTTGTGTGCGATGAACATTGGTTTGATCTGTTTACTTAGTTAATTTAATTAATTAAATTTAATATGATGTCATTGCAAAAGGAAGTGTTACTAGCATCACTGTTTTGGTTTATGCTTATATTACAAAATATAGCAGGGTTGCTTAAACATCATTTCAACTTAATGAAAAAAAAAAAAAAACGAACGCGGAAAAAAGAAGCAAAAAAACTGTCGTTTTTCCCGTTACTATCGTAATATTATCACAAAAATCTTTTGAATGTGAAATGAACAGCATGTTAGCATATGTATTGTTATATGTACCGTTTAATTCGGTTGCATTGTGGCATTTGATTTAAACTGTCTCCAAGACTCTTACATCTTTTTGCACTACATAAAATTTATGTTTTTTTCCCACAAGACCCCAAACGACTGCAATGTTTTCAATCACTACATTAACAGGTATTGTGCATACAGCACCCAATACGCAGGCCATAAACTTTACCACTCCGAAGCGATATAACGAGAATGATTTGATGACACCGAACACATACATATAAATATTAACTGCTGCTATAAAGGCGCATACAAAATCGACAAGATTGGGGCAGGGTATGGGGTATAAGCCGGCAAATACGATATTCGATGTAGACAGCGGCATTGTTACCCACGAATAGACGCTAATACCGAGCAATAATTTATGCTTGAATGGTATCATTTTCGAGTGCACGACCAGCAGTATACCTTGAAGCCAACGTTTACGTTGCTGTAGAAAGTCCAGTAAGGTGAACGGAGACTTTTCATACATTTCACCTTCAATGAAATTAAAAGTAAAACCTTGAGCAAAGGCACGCATAGCAAAGAAACAATCTTCCGCCACCGAACCATCGACACCATTATCAAACGATACTTGACGTTCAGCACCAACCTAAATAAATAAACAACAAAAAACAAGTAAGAACATCATAGTCGGGCAAGGCCGACATTTAATTACCCTACACCACATTGCCTAATTTTGTATGAAATTGCTATTATGGAACGATTTTCATCACCTTATATTAAAACTTGAATTTTTCTGCCCTACAAAGCATCAATTTTCGTGAATGTACTTATTAGCGTAGGAATCAAAAAATAGACCGAGATGGTCCAAATTTCTTACAGTTAATTTTTTTATGTTAAATTACTTTTATGGTGTAATTTTCATGATAAAGCATTGAAAATTATGCGTTTTTGTCGTATGAACTTCAGTTTTCGCTACATGAAAGCGGGTTCAAAAATTGTCCCAATCCTTTCAAAGGTTTCATACCAATTTATAATATCCAAATACTACTACTTAGCCACCTTTTTGAGGCCTTTTGAAAATTGCAACTTATTTCCATATAATGACTTCTTAGAATAGGGCGTTAGATGGGGAGTGGTCGACAAAGAGGTCCAATCCGAACCATTTTCAATAGCGCTCGTCCTTGGATCGAAACGCGTCACTATAACAAATTTCATCGAAAAATCTCAAAAATTGCGATCTGTTGCTTGACGCCAAATTCACATGGACAGACGTGAGACGGACAGATAGGCTTAGATCAACTCAAATTATGACTGTGAATCGATCGCTGTAAAAAAAGATGGGTATATCTTAAGCCCTTCTGCATGTTATACACGACTGCACTAACTTAATATGTGCCACAATGGTGCGGGGTATAAACAATAATTATTTACTTAGGATTAATAAACATAATTTATTTTATGATATTCTTTTCCTTTACCTGCGTTACAACGTAACTGCCTTTCCAGCTGAACAGCGGTTTATGGAATAATTTGAATTGTAATCTCAGCTTACCCATATCATCAGATACGCGAAAACTATCGGCCAACGTGGTCAGCCAATTGACAACATTTTCGTTGGCATAGGTAATCAATCCCTGTCCGAACGGATGTTTACCATCCAAGACAAAATTTATTATACCACGCACCGAATTCTCCGTCAATAAAGTTTCCTCGTCAAGATGCACTATCCAATCGTTATCATTTAATACATTAACATTATCTTCTAGGCAATACTGAAGTGCACGCGATTTGAATAGAGCTCCAGTTCGTGTTTTATACTCTTTGGGTACGACAATTTCACGTATGCGACGATGATGTGCCAAATTAACTGCTTTATCTGTAACTACTTCGATTAGAAAATTTTCCAAACCCGTATCCAAGCAGGTATTCATATTGCGTAATACATTCGTTTTAACTAAATCGGGAAAGTCACCGCGCGTCACCACCCTTATGCAAATGAACGGTGCTAATAGTGGACTGCCTTTGAGCACAACTTTTTCGGGGAAGGCATTGTAAAAGATCAAACCGCAAAAATTGAATAATACTTGCGGTAAAGTCAGAAATGTTAGAAAACGTAATAGATATAAAAGTATGGCTCCCATTTGTCCATACTCGATCCAGGGATCGAGCACCGTAAATGAGTTCTCATCAATTTTAATACCACCAGAAAATATTTCAAAAACAAAAATTACTACAACAAGCAATGCACAATGCAGCAGATGTTTTGTGTGTGAATTCATTATGGTCCAATATATACAACTGTGATGCTTCTAAATTAGCCAGCGGTCAGGTCAGCTTATGAGTAGTTCGCTTGTCTTAATTATTAAAAAATTTATTAAGTTTATTTCAGTTATTGTTGTTATTATTGTTGTTGAGTATTAAGAACGCGTAAAGTTAACTTTTTTTTACATTTTTACAGCTTTAAAAAATTATCGTGATAATTACGAATTGTTGTTATTGTTGCAGTTGTAGTCGTTTTAATAGTGAGAGAGGTTTGTAGTTGATTATTTTGTAAAAATTTCTGCAGCAGATACTATAATAAAATAGAAATATACATTCATATCAACTGATGTACAAAAGCGTTATGTATTCATAATTTATACAATAAGATGAGTTTTAACAGTATAAAACTATAATAACTTACTTGCAACTACAAAAATCATACCTCCTCATATATATGTAACACACACATTTATGCCATAATGTAGACATATTTAAAAATAAAATAAGATAAGATAAAAAAAATTCCCTACTATATTATACAATACTATATTGAACTTGATTGTTCGTTTTGTACCGTAGACAATTTTAAATTATATTCGAATAATATAATAATGTAAGACTTTTAATACAATTAATTACAAAGGCACGCCCTTACCCATCGAAAATTTAGGACAATCACCTAAAAGCCACATACGAAATAGGTACATACACGACCCAAAGGGATCATGTTAAAAGGTACTACCCTACATATATTCCTCGTAACTGGTTAACAAGAACAATCAATCATCAATTTTAGCCCAAGATAATATGTTTGAATATGTGTCGCATAAACGTGCTGTCGAAAATCAACTGAAAACTGATATTGTGCCCAAATTTTGAAAAACGCAATTGCCAACATCCGTGTTACCCACATGAAAAGAAATTATATATTATTTGGAAAGACTAAGGAGTTCGGCTACTGTTCATTTTGTTCCTCTATTTCTGAGTAGATAAGTTTATGAAAAAATACGTGCCATGCCTGAAGTAGATATTGTAAATAAAAGTAATAGAATAAGATAAAATTACACGTATTTTTCTTCAATAGATGGCTCGCCGATAGATCACATAACTTTGATAATGTTAATCTACCCTATGGCCCGCTTAATTAAATTGACAATCCAAAGATAATGAAAATAACACAAATAAGGCAATGATTTATCTGCTGTACTTTATGACTACTAAGTAAAGATTCAATTTATTGTTCCTTTCAAAATACAGAGGTTTTCTCAGTGTACGCGGCCTTAGATCGATTTGGCGAATTTTCAATATCGACCTGCGTGGAAGAGCTTTCAATCTCTCTGCCAAATTTGAAGTTGATAGCTTCAATTTTGCGAGTAAGAAAATGTTTACAACACGCATTATCGAGGAAAGCGTACTGAAATCGATTCAGAATGTGATGGTGCTTAAGAATATACATACTTTGTGGGAGGATGTGGAGGTTGTAAACCTTTTAACAACATGAATATACCCATACTCATCCTTCGGTGATAGATGTAAAAACTTGTATAGATATATATTCATATGAATAGATGTGCGTCTATTTAGAGCTTCTACCCATTTCTAAGGAGCTTTTCTGATAAAACGGCCATCTTTGCTTTTGATGACAATCCTAATAATGTTACTTGAAGGGCGTTTTTACGATATCGTTAAATGCATATACAAAGTAGAAATTTAAGGTAATAAAAATCTAACATCACAACAAATCTTTTAATAAAAAATTGCTTGAATCACTTTTAATGCTTACAAAAAAAAAAGTACCCTCCTGTAAAATCGGAGGGACCTAAACCGAATATAAAGGCGATGTTTGGTCCGCTGCAGCGTTGGTATTGTGCGTGTACTTGGGAATTTAAAATAACGATAGTCACATATTTTGCACTCTTTGCACTCCTTTTAATATTATATAAATCGAAACCGAAAAGAAATAAGATTTTTTACTTATTACTTAGCTGAGTATGTAATGTAAAAAGAAATGACAATATAAGCGCACGCAGGGAAAAAATTAACTGTAGAACTTCGCTTCTGGCACTGGTGCAAGTATACAAAATACTGCTATGTGCCGCATTTGGGCCATTTTATCAGATCACACCTACAACGCAGCAGGGGAGTAACGTACTTAAAAGACTATACGACGTTGAATAAACAGCTCTAAGCGGATTATATACAATCTCCAAAATTTCGATGGATGTTAACGTTTTCAATGACACTGTAAAACGACAGCAGCAAAAAAGCAAAGCATTATAAGTACATGAAGAACAAAAACAACACTTTGTGGTCATAATCGCTATCTTAACTCTTTGCACTCCGTAGGCGCCGTTATTGCGCCATATGCTTTCATTGCACTAACTTTGTTCGCGCCGCTTTCCGAAGTTTGCATTCAATGACTAACAAATTTTAAATTTTATTTTATGTTAGATAGATTTACCCTTGAGAAAACATGGAAGAAGGAGATTATTGGGAAAGTTTTGAGATCAGTGAAAACGAAAGTGATAATGAAATACAAAGTGAATATACTGATACTGATAGCAGTGATGATAGCGACATAATAGTACAAAAAAAACGGAAAGTATATGTTATTAAGAGTGATACTCATGACATTGGTAGTTATTCTGAAGAAATAGATGAAGATGATGACGATTGGCAAGATATTACAGAGAGTGATGAAGTTCCAGTAGGTAAAATATACTGTGACACATGTCCAAATAAGCCACGGGTGTATATGGGAGATTGCTTTCACAAATATCACACTAAGTTGAATTACAAAATATAAATATCAAATTGTATTTCTTCTCTATAAATAAATTTATAACAACAGATCTTTTTCATTTTTCAGATGCTCCAACGCAATAATCTCACAGAGTTGTCGCACTTTTGAGTAAAAAAACGCTCGGAGTGGAAAGGGTTAAAAGACAGATGGAAAAAGTTGAATTTATTTTACTCTTCACGTCGTTCAAAATAGTTTGTGAACTATTCGTGGTTCTATATGCATTGCAAGCATTTGACATACCTAACGTGCTCCCCGTGACAGCATAGCAAGCAAATGTGTGTTTTAAGCGCATACAAATTCATATATGTGTACGGGGTCACTACACTGTTTAAATTTAAATAAAGTACAGTCATTGCATGAATTAATTGAATTAAAGATAATTATAAATGAAGAAAAAGTTTACTTTTGTTTATACCTTGATACGACGGTGCAGACGTTAAGAAATTAAAATTAAGTTTAGTAATAACTTTCTTATATATACATATATATAAATACATACACATGTGCGTATACATAAATAATACAAAGAGTAGAAATCTTTGCGAGGAAACAAATATGAGCTTCCATCGAAATTCATGCCCGTTTTCTTTATTTATTTATATATCAACAAAAAATTATGTTTATTTATTTTCTTTTACTCCTTTACTATCATGTACCAAACGTCTTAATATTCAGCTTAGGTCCCTCTGATTTTAGAGGAGGGTAAAAACACCCCTCAAGTAACTTATATTATGATTATCATTAAAAGCAAAGATGGCCGTTTTATCAGAAAAGCTCCTTTTCTGCATGTGAGAAAATCCCTTAAAAATGGGTAGAAGCTCTAAATAGACGCACATCTATTCATATGAATATATATCTATGCAAATTTTTATATCTATCACCGGAGGATGAGTATGAGTATATTCATGTTGTTAAAAGGTTTACAACCTCCACATCCTCCCACAAAGTATGTATATTCTTAAGCAGCATCACATTCTGAATCGGTTTCAGTACGCTTTCCTCGATAATACGCGTTGTAAACATTTAATTACTCGCAAAATTGAAGCTATCAACTTTAAATTTGGCAGAGATATTGAAAGCTCTTCCACGCAGGTCGATATTGAAAATTCGCCAAATCGATCTAAGGCCGCGTACACTGAGAAAACCTCTGTATTTTGAAAGGAACAAAAAATTTGAACGTATGGACGACGCTATAAGGCCTGTACAAATATGAGAAAAATTGACTGCACCTACTCAATGTTATAGTCTATATATTAAAGCTTAGTTTTTTTTTCAATACATTTATAACGGGGAGAAGCAAACTTCAAAACTCCCATAAGGTATATAAATTGTAGACCTAATGTCCACCTGTCCATCTGTTTTGCCCAACTGCATATTATCTGTCGTAAATATTCTCCCGTTCGCAAAAATTAAGTTACCGTCTACAAACTTGCAAAAAATTTGAAAGTGACCCAAACCAATCACAGGAACCCCCCTGCAATGCCCACCCGCCTATGTAACAAAAACCTTGAATATCTTTGCTTTCCGTTTTAAAATAACTTACTCAAAAATCGTAGGTAGGAAAATTTTCAATTTTAACTTTTTTTGTGGATTTCCTTCTGGTTTCACTCCTTGACGGTGCGAGAGAAAAATTGAGAAAAAAAATTATTATCCTAGATAAAGTTTTGAAATTGTTAATTTAAAGTATAAAGTATATTGAGCGAAAGGAAGTCAAGACTTTTAGAAATATAAACGGAAACTATTTATTTGATATACACCTTCACTTGAAACTTTAGATCTTAAATCTGTTCTAGTTATTGACTATGGTTTAGTTGAGGTGCACGAGAGTTTACCGCAACGCAGCTGCCTGAACCCTACTCTTTTCTACCTATCTATACCTAGTTAAGCCGCAGCGCTTTCAAGATAATGAAATTTCAATGTGCCGATGACTTCTTATTAGTCGTGGCTGGAAGTTCCTTCAACGAAGCGGTTGACAACCTTGAAACTTGTACTGATCTGAACTTGTTCTTCAATGCAAACAAAAGAAATGCGATTTAGACCTTTATTTGTTCAGTTGGTGGCCTTAGGCCACAGCTATTCAGCACGGCTACGCAAGGTGTCTGGAACTCTGCTTATATAAAATTAATTAAATATAAATTTAATGTAAATATCCTTGTATCTATTGTTCATGCTGAGAAGAATTTTCCGCAGTCAAGTCTGCGAGTATGCCAGGAAAGATTAAGATCTTATCCAAACAATGATCTTGTAATATATGCTGATAATAGTTAGTAGTAGATTGTCCAGCATATCTGTACTGAAGCGCGTTAATTGGCAAATTCGAAGTCTTTGACACTGTCGCCTACCTTTATCGCTCTTCTTCCCGTCAGACGAAGATTTCTTTTGGCCAGATCAAATGATATTAAGAAATTCGTAACCTTTTCTAATAGCAAATCGGCCAATCAATGAAAATTATCCGTACAATCTTAAATAATGCTATTATTGAGGAATTTTACTGATCTGGATACCGGGTTATCTTGGCTTTCGTTTAAATAAGTAGGCGGATATACATGATTTATGATTACTCACATGTTTGACAATGTTTACCTAAAGATGTTTCGAGATATACCATCTCATACATGTGAGAAACGTTACACATCGGAATCAGCTGAATATCTCATTTTAGATATGGCAACAATGCTCAGTTGATTTTGTTTATCAATTTCATTTAGTCGTACATTGATCAAATATTAAACTATTCCTTATTAATTGTGCTCTATTTTTTGCTTATTATTCCGCTTGTTTAATTAGACAGGACAGTACATATCTGGCTACTATCTGGCCTGCCTCCTAATAAGAGAAAACCTGTATCACCAACCCTTCCGCTCATAGCTATGTACTGGCTTCACCATCCGTTAACTGCAAGGAATCAACAATTATTAAAAACACTTCACAGTACTGGATGTGCGTTTCTCCCACCGTCGAGAGGCCTAATTTAAAAAAATAATTGACCTTTCAGAATGATAAAAAAATATTTTATTTGTAGCGACAATCGCTATTACAAGTCGTTGCTTGGAATACCTTGGAAGGTTCAACTTCATTTTCACTCTGATTGCAGATTCCACTAAACCTTACAACACGCCATTCATTTTTGGTGAATTTATAATTATATGGATTAGCGAGAAAATTCATTGTGAGACTAGCCGATTATACGTGATCGTATTACTTTTTATGAAACACAAGTAATTGAACATGCCAACATTAATCGTTCAAGATTGGAATCAATTCAAACTCCACAATAAATTGATGTCGTGTATTAAAAAGTAAAAAAAAAAATGCTGCAGTTCAGCGACCAAAAAACGACATGTTTACAAATGTACATATATATTTATATAAACAATGATTCAAAAAGAATTTCTCTGTCGAAAGCGGAAATAATCGCATAAAGGCATGTGTATATCTATAAAAATATATCTGAGTGTGTATATACACATATATGTACATTTGTTTACATTCCACTATATACACGTATGTATGATATAAACAGTACCGTTGACCAATGCTTTCAATGCATATGATTCATTTTAGTTCTATGTCAAAGTTTTAAAATGTGCAACTGATAGCAGAAATACATATAGCAAGTACAAAAATGTATGTATGCGCGTATACATACATATATCAATTAGAGTACAATTTTTAATATATTATATTTAAAAGTCACGCTTCATTATTGTTATTATTTGGTACCATAAATTATGTAGAACTGAGAACAGTTCATAACCACTTTGCTAAAAATCTCACAATATTATTTGGTTTTGACACCGTAACTTATTAGATGCAGAACTATGAATGTGAGATATATACGTATGTTCTCAGATTGATGCATTGGATCAGAAAATGATTGTTATTTAATTGAAAAAAAAGAAATTTCTTTTCGTTCGCATTTGATAATTTATGTCAAGTTGCATATCGTTAAGACGTCACATAAATATTCACATTCCTTATGCATGGCGTACTTTAAAGTAAAATTTTTTTATATTATTGTAAACCTTGCAATACATACTTTAGCATGTAATCATCAAAATTATGTCTGCTATTTTTGTATAACACTCTGAAAGAGGAAAATTTGAACTTGTTTGTGCAATTTTTGACCGCTAATAAAAATATAAATTTTCGTTAATGGATGTGAAATTTCAGTCAAATGTCACCTCATTCTTTGAATGAAGCTGATACCATAGAGAAAAGTTTCTAAATCAACGAAAGCTAACATGTTCTCTTATGATAATGCGCTGTGATAAAGTGCATATTACATTTTTCTCCTTAATTAGTAGATTGTTAATTAAATTTGGCACCTTCAAAATACAAATATGTAATGCTTCTTAGAATGACATAGATCACGTATGTAAAAAGTACATTAAATAAACACACGTATATGGATACATTTTTCCAATTTCAAATGTTAATTTGAATTGTTAATTAATATAATAATTGTATGCGAGCAATTTCAACATAGCTTTCTAAGCCTTGGGGTCGCCCATTTAGGATTTAGATAAAAATGAAAAATTTAATTAGAATGGAAACGATAATCCAGCAAATCCTCAAAGATGGGAATTTATTTTAAACTCAATTTCCAAGTTTTATAATTTGGATATCTTAAATATGTGTAGTTATAAGCGTGTTCACATGTGGCTTTGGACTTTAACCAACAATACAGTAATAGACTTCCCCATTTAGTTTGTTTGCATTCATTGTTTATATTATAACATAGGTTTAAAAAAAAAAGAGAAAACGCTTACAATTAGTTCATGGTCAAGTGTACTAAGCGTTGTTATGTTTATATGCTTGCATTTAACATTTAGCGGAAGCCATGTTTTTACCACATTTTCTGATTTGTTTAATTGTAACAAAATATATTTAGCTTCCTTCGATCATTTCATATCGATTTTCTACTTAAGTATTGTTGATTCAGTTTTTAATTAATCAGTAGCAGGTTTATTAACTACACTCTCCCGCCGTACGATTATATTAAACCGATGCAATTACCAATTCATAATTTACTTTTGAGAATGAATTAAATTGTTATTGACAATAATTATTATTTTATATTAGAAGATTAACAGTGATTACATACCAGTCAGGCTAATAATTTCCGCAAAAAAAAAAACCAAACAAATTGATATATTTGTATTTTCAGAATCTATGAAACGGACGGTAGCGGAGAGGTGTACTTGTTCAATTTATGTTTCTGTTTTTTGTGTTTGATATATCTATATTTACATATTGTGTGTGCACAATAGCAATATTTTCTTTTTTTTCTACTATTATATTTCTTTAAACTTAATCGTCGTTATTGTCGCCCTCGACACTTTTCAATTATTGTGTTATTATTTTATATAAAATCCCATGGGAACGTGATGGTGGTTTTCGTAAGGGCACGTAAAACAACATAGACCCGGCGCGGCAGCTGCAATATGAATTTGATGTTTTTGCCGTCTCCAATTTTTATATGCGGCTGTGACCAAGGAACAAAACGAATTAAATCGATTTTTTCTACTTAATTTATTTTACACTTTGATCGCACTCTTCAAAGCTTACGATGTCCGCGTTTAACCACTGAAGAACGATCCATAATTATTTCGTTTAAGTTTTATATGGCTACTGATACCTTATAATAACAACAATATTATATAAATTTAATCCTAAATACTATTTTATTTTCAATTTTCTTGTCTCGTTCGAAAGAAAACGATAACAACGCCGCAATCGACTACCTAGAGTTGCCAAGTTTATAATCGCCTTTATTTTAGATATATAATTAAAAGACACTGCTATAAATTCTCAGCAGAATCCACAGTTTTTCCAAGGATCTAAATTATATTGCGCAAGTATTATAAATTCAAATTACGGAGGTACAATAAGTTACAATGTACAGTGAAATAGTTTAGGGTTGAAAACGCTTAGCAGACGACAAAGATCTTTATTAATCAAAAGAAAAGTTCTTGTTTTTAATTAAAGAAAATAATAATAACTGTCGAGTTTAGTTAATAATCTGTTAAATAAATGTAATATAAGAATCAAATCAATATTTTTGTGAAATTTTTATTTCTTTTACATTTCATTTTTCTAATTCCTACGCAATTAGCCGACTTGAAGTAATTACGTCCGTAGATAGAAAATTAGAGATTTTCACCTGGCAATACTGCACAACTGTGTAACAAATTAATTTTTTAGAGGGTGCAATTGTGTCTCTTTATCAAAATTTCGGAATATAAAGGGAAAAACAGTGATTGAAATTAATATTTTCTAAATTTCATATCGTATGAGTTGATCCAGATATATATATATGAGGAAAATGCTAATTTTTGAACAGGATAATAGTACCGAACTATACAAAAGGAAAAAATTGCCTAGTGTTTGACTAGCAAATAAAATTGGGGAGCAGAGAAAGGTCAAAAGAAGAAAAATAAAGAATAAGCAGAAATAACAACACAAAGCGAATGAAGGTAAATTTCTTTTTCTTTATGTGCATCGTAAATAGCAAATTGTTAGATGGAATTAACACCCACCCTTTTTAGAATGCTTAAGAATTTAGAAAAAGTTGATTTGATTTTCCACAATTATGATAAAATTAACTTTTTTCTCTTCTATTTTTATGTTGACATTTCGTAAATATGTTATTATCAATGTATGTAGCTGTATATAGACAAAGACCCCGTAGAGAATTTAGACGCCAAGGTGGGTGAATTGTTGCTTGAATCGGTAGAAAATAGTTACTTTCTTGCTTTTATATTTGCAGATTAATCCAACCATAAATTTACTTCATCTATGCACTGCCATTAACTGTATGATTAGGTTACGATATTAGTTCTTAAAGAATTTTTAACAGCAGAACGACGTTATAAAGGCTTCTTGTAAAGGATTTCCTGGGGGATATCGATTCATCCGATAGCTATTGTTTTTTAATCAATTTTCCTGTATTGTATAATATATTAGAACCGTGAAGACGAAGCGTAAACATCTCTCTCGCGCTATGTCGAACAATCGCTACCATCACAACAATCATAGTCAACACTCATATAATTCAACCGGGTCCAATAACCATCACCATTACATGAATGGTGATGGTAAGGATGAGTACCATCAGAGTGTTGTCCGATTAACTAATGGTTACAACTTAAAGCCCTTGGACAATGTGGCTGTACCCGATATGTGTTTATTTTGTTTCGAAGTCTTAGATTGCGAGCTAAATAATTTAGAGGGTCCTAGCGCACCGAAGTTTACCAACGAGGCATAGTAAGTCCATATGACATATTGTCATTCAACTATTTATTCTCTCGTTTAATTCCAGTCCTCTATTTGTCACCTGGAAAACGGGTCGTGACAAACGTCTGCGCGGTTGTATTGGTACATTTAGCGCCATGCACTTGCATTCAGGGTTACGCGAATACGCTTTAACTAGCGCCTTAAAAGATTCACGTTTTTCACCGATCTCACGGGATGAACTTCCCAAACTAACAGTCTCTGTTTCAATTTTGCAAAATTTTGAAGAAGCTCATGGGCACCTGGACTGGACCCTGGGTGTTCACGGGATACGAATTGAGTTTCTTAATGAACGCGGATGTAAAAGGACTGCTACTTATTTACCTCAAGTAGCTACAGAGCAAGGTACGGATTTTATCGATGAGAACAGTTTAAAAAGTTGTTGCAAAACGATTCATTTCTATTAAGTGTACGCGAAGAAATATTTTTAAGTGGATTTATTGATTGTTCCTCTTAAAGCCTCAAAGCTGTCAATGGTTGCAAAGTTAAAACGAGGGTGACATTAAATATACTGTTCACGATTCCTTAGCTATTTTACGCTCGACCATATCTTAATAGAACTTTTGTTGTATTTTTATTTTACAACATAGTAACGTTTTCAATCTTCTAAGTTTTCCAAACTTGAAAGTCTTGTCTTGGAGCGCTCTTCGTATGGCCCTCTGATTTTTGTACCCTATTATAATCAAAAAAGACTATAAATAGAAAAATTAAATAGTTTGAACCATAAAAATTTCTCGCATTTATTTGTTTTTAGGATGGGATCAAGTCCAAACTATAGACTCTCTTTTACGTAAAGGAGGACTACGTGCCGCGATTACTCCAGAAACTCGTAAATCGATTAAATTAACTCGCTACCGTTCTCAGGAAATCCAAATGAATTATAAGGAGTATCGTGAAATTATGGAACGACGGGGACAATATGGTAGAGTGCAGTGCTAACAAATACCGAATTACCGCAGTAAACAAAACGACAAGCGGTATCGGTTGAATTGTGTTTGAAATTGGAACACTTATCGCTTCAAACCGCTAAAACAACAAAACAAATACGATATATTAATTGTTTAAGGTTATTATTATTCTTATTATCTCACATAACACAAAATAGCTAACTAATTGTTTTCCAAACAAACGTGCTTACCGTTACCGACATTAACACAATACAGTACACATGTCCAATGTCCCGACATTACGAAACTGAACACTAAACTCAGCTACAATTGTGGCAGACATTGACATGTTCTTATGTAAAGTTCTCTTAAAATTTATGGTAATTTTATGGTAATTACGTTTCTTTAGACATTCTACGTATATGCAAACCATAATTTATAACGATAACAAATGTGTATGTATGTTTGAATATGAAAGAGTGTGTAGCAATATTTTATGGTTCTCTATCAAATGTTTTTAATTACTTTTGAAAACTAATGAATTGATAATAAAATGTGTGTTGACAAAAGAAAAGGAATCTATACTGCGTGTGCATTTTCTTGAAAGACTGACTCCTCTCATGTGCAATAGCAATTCTTCTCATCTGATAGTTGTTCTTGGAAAGCTTTCGAATAGTATTTAAATTGATAAAAGAGTTTAGAATATCGGTCAAGTAATTTGATATGAAAAGATATGCAATGCAAATCGATCGCACAGGTAACGAGTAATATGAATAGATTATGTACATTGTTAATATAGAAAATAGAAATAAAAGAAATAATAGTAAATATAGAATGAAACTTCTTCAGAAAATTTCAAAGTTGCAAACACACTAATCGTCTTATATAGAAATGTTTCGGACACTATGCAAATAGATATAAAAGTGGAAGTTAAATTATTTCAAAAAATTTTTTCTAAAAGTGAAACGAATAAGCTTAAATTACCATTAGATATAACTTTATACAAACTTTGCTTTAATTATGTTTTTTTTTCTTTTAAATTAATCGAAATATCTCATATCATCGTAGTTCTCCAAAAAAAAAAAAATTTCCTGCAGTGAGAAAAAAATTTGCACAAAGTACAATTGTATAATTCTTCATTTTCAGAAGACAAAATTGCATTCAAAACACAATTTGCTTGCCAGGCTAATAAATTTTATAAATTTTCTTTTTGCGCGGGATATATTTGTAAATTGAGTTGAATTGAAAATACGATGTGAGTAGAATTTGATTGTTTCTGCTTGGTTTCTGTTGAAAAATCCCTATTTGGTATATTTGGTTTGTGCCCAAAATCTTTCGCTAACACATTGAAAAATCAATTGTCGAAGTTCGCACTGTTTCGAAGAGGGGATAAGTAAATGAGCGAACTTCGAATTTTACAACTTGAGAGAGTAAGTAAATGAGCGAACTTCGAATTTCACAACTTGAGAGAATAAGTAAATGAGCGAAGTTCGGATTTCGTAACTTGAGAAAGTAAGTAAATGAGCGAACTTCGAATTTCACAACTTAAGAGAGGAAGTAAATGAGCGACCACTTGTTAGAATGTAAATATTGGAAATATTTATTCACCTTTCTCCACATCCCATAAAAATACATAAAAAACATGTACATAAAAATAAATATGAAATTTTTGATGATGATGAAATCGAAAATTACACGCTATAACAGATTTTGTATGACGCAATATTAGAAAGCAAATAAATTAATTTAATGTTTTAATTTTTAAATATTTCCCATTAGTTTCTAATTTGTTTGAGTAACAGCCAGCAATAGTGCACCTTCTTTTCATCTAAATTGCCATTTATCTTTCTTGATTTCGTATTAGACGTTATTTTTAATCTATACCATGCTGTACTCCAAGTATCGTAACAAAGTAAACGTATCGTAAACCCGCTCAATACACTTTATCGTAACTGCTGTTAAGTTGGACAAACCACGAATTTGAGTTGAAAACGAAAATTGACAGTGGTTCTTTTGTGGAGAATGTACAGGAGATAAATGTCAACATACGGCACACAACAGAGAATAATAAATAAAGAACTTGGAGCACCAGAAACTCAAAGACGACAGACATATAATTGCATAAAAACGCAAAATCAGAACATAAAACTAAAAAGAAGTATATCAAAAAGGAAAAATTATAAAAGTGTTTTTCGGCAATTAGACGTTTACTTGTAAATTTTTTTTCTACTTCAACAAAATTTTCCTATCGGAATAATAAACAGAGAATGTACACACAGCTAGAGAATAACTGCTTCACCGTCATCTAGAAAGTCATTATCATCGTCGTTATAGCCGCTGTTGTACGGGAAAGAAATCCGCATAGCAATCATTTCATACTAAGAAGTAAAGGCGTTTGGAGAAGAGATAATTGCCAATTTTTTTGTTGAAAATTAGTTTGCTCTTGGCATTAGGGGTCGAGGGTATTAAGCTTTCAGATTTCATCACACGACGATCGCTGAATACAGCTTTCAATGGAGTTTAATTTAAGTTTGTAAAGGTTTTAAGGTTTATAATAAAAACAAGCACGGAGTGGGAATAGCAGCTAGAGACCCTTAAGTCCACTGTAAGCCACAGAGATAACGACAGTAATTTGGGAGACGTGTGAAACTCTTTCTTTTTCACTTGGTAGAGACGAATGGGCGCAAAAGCAAGCACCCCCGCCACCAGCGGTCACCAGAGTCCTCGTTCGCGTACATTTTCGAGCAGCTCAACGGGTGCCGAATTACAAAATTCCTCTGTGGATAGACAACGGGCACGTAGCTTAAGCTCCGTGCCAGATATCCATTCACAACCCACAACCTCTGGTGAAAATCAACATATAAATGCCAGTAACAATGCCACCGCAATAAATAGTAATAATTATGCCAGTTCATCAACGTCACAACAAGGTCACAACAATCATTTGCAGCGTCAAACACTCGGCGATAATATACGAGTGAGTATAATTGAAAAAATCGTTGAATTTAGATATAAATAACAATAATTCTTTCGAAGGGTGTTTCTATGGCGGGAGCAAATTTCGTGGAAAGCATAGCCTTGGCAGCTTCAGCATCGAACGGAGCCAGCAATATTGGACGCGTGTATACAGCAACATCACTTCCATCTCAAATATGGTCATTTAATGGTAAGAAGTAAAAATGCGGCTTGTAGGTTTTCATTATTGCTTTACATGCTAGTTGTACCATGTTCTGTGCTCAAAAAAGTGCGTATTTAAAAAAAAAAAAAAAAAAATTAACGCCACAACTAAATTTTTAAGTGAACCATTCTCTCTTTTAACTTGTAGTTAAATTTAATAAATCATTATTGAAGATCTGCGCTGAAGATATTGACATAACATTTTAGACATAGTGATAAAGAAGATGAAATTTGTGTACATTTTTTTGGTATAAAAACTAAACGTTTATCATTTTGAAGGTATTAAATGTCCTGTATGCAACAAATTCGTCTTACCCGACGATATTGAATGCCACTTGGTTATGTGCCTAACAAAGCCACGACTCTCATACAATGGTATGGAATAATTCAAATGCTGTAGACAACAAAGAAAGGAACGCATCAAATATCTATTTCTTTTCTTTTTTTTCTGTTTACATAGAGGATGTTTTAGCAGATGCAAAAGGTGAATGCGTAATTTGTTTAGAAGATTTAAATCCTGGTGATATCATAGCTCGCTTACCATGTCTTTGTATTTACCATAAATGGTAAGGATAATATAATTGGTAATATATTTGTGGACTGAGTTAAAATTGTTTTCGATAGTTGCATAGATCGATGGTTCGAAGTAAATCGCTCCTGCCCCGAACATCCTGGCGACTAGTTAAAACCCAACATGTAAATTCTTTTTTATATTAAATTATGTGTTAAATAATTAAATTAATAATATAATATGATAATTCAATATAATAATAATACAATAGAAATGATATAATAATATATATATAAAAAAGTTTATAATAATCATTATATATGATATAATGAATTATAATACAATAGAAATAAAAATGATAATAATAACAATGATAACAATAACAATAATGGCAATATAATAAATATAATAAAATAATAAAATTGATAAATGAATTAATAATAAAATTTTGTTTGTTACTAAAAACTATAAAGAGATAAATTAACTAAAAATAATGAACGATTAGTTTTAGATGGCATATGTGAAAAATGTTACCAACAATCAATCCACAGCTTCATCAATAAACAAAATAATTATTGCAGAACAAAATCCCGTAAGAGCAGAAAACCAAACAACAAATAAAGAGGAAAAGCATCTTACTTGATGCTAAAATGAAGAATAAGCCAGAGAGTCGTAGAACAAGAAATTAGAGCATCAGCAATTGGTTTATAATCAAATTTACATATATAAATAGTTATTATATTAATGAAAATGAAATAAGATTATAATGATAACTTTTTGAAAATATGAAATATACACCATACATAAACACATAGTCCACTCACAAACAAACACGTAAATACATATACACACACACAAGCACACATTCAAGCACACACTTACGCGTTAAAAAAAAGTCGTGGAAAACTCGTAAAAAATAACTTTAATAATAATCTAAAATTTATACATGCTTCTATATATACATATATATATATATATATATATATATATATATATATATAAATTTATAAATACAATATAAATATTTAAAAAAAGTATAATAATGGTAACATTTATGGTAATGATAGTACGATAATAAATTAAGAGATTAGTTATTAAAACATTTTGTACTGTGACATAAAAATAAGAAAACTGAATAATGTTGTATGTAATTTTGTATATTTATCAATCTCTGTTTTTAATTTTTTTTCCCCCATTTTTTGATTGTG